AACTTTGCCTCACCGGTTCCCGTAGTGCGGAAATCACTGCCGTCATGGTAAGCGAGTAACCGCGCTAGAATAGTTGCCAGGTTAATCAAATTAAAACAGATAAAAACTATACTTCGGTGCATAAACTAGAGTTTATTAAGGGCGCCGTCAGTTTGATGTAATCTAGAGGGCTGACCATAAAAAACTGGAAGAATCCAACATAAGTAATGGACCTCGCCACATGTGCCAAACCGGCAAGCTGGACTGATTGATAGTAAACGCGGTTCCCAGCTGCGCAAGCAGAGTTAAATACGCAAACCAAAAGAAAAGAAACAGCCACCCACAATATCAATGTGCTCTTCCTTCTCTTGAAAGCTCCGTCTTGCCTCACTTCTAGATGACGCGAAACGTGACTTCCACGGAGACGCCAGTTAGTTATGGCAGATCATTATCATGCCCAACTGAATGAATTATCACACAGTATTGGCCTGCTGTAGTTGAAATACATGTCATCGCTGCAGGATTACTGACTGTTAGTCAACCCCCAATCATCGATTTTTGTCTCCGGTCGCGACCTTGTCAATTTAGGCCTACGTTTGACAAGCTAGGTTAACAACAAAGTTTTTGCTACTCAACACGTAGCCAGCTTTCATATTCGGATGCCGGAGATGCCCACTTGTCATTTTGGTGTGCTAGCCGTCCTCATGACGTTGGATCAGGATCAGTGAGCCTACAGGGCGCTCGTTCGTGAGAGCCCATCCACAACATATCAGCTTAACACCCTGAGATTGTCACAACGTAGACTAATTTATCTGCTGCTCTGATGCCTATTGACATATTAATATTAACTCTGGGCTATCTGTCGGCATATATTGATAATTGTCATGGTCGACGTGCTCTTTCGGGGGCATCGTTAGAAAAGGCAATTCCATAGTGCTCTTCGGCCAAGCCTGTTTGCCAGCGATAAGCTAGGTGAGTCTCGGGTAGCTTTGTTTAGGGTTTTTTCTCGTCCGAAAAGGCAGATGCCAAAGACATGGGCCAATGGCTCAGCACACTGGACTGTATTCACCATGACAGTTGCCAGTACCAAGGCGCTCGGATAGAAGCCACTGCTACGGGCTGGAACAAAATGCTTTATCGTTTGTTCGGCCCTGGCGTCTCTGGAATCCACGATACTGTAACAGGTGCTATGTACCAGCATGGTCATCTCATCGTTTTGATATCAATGCGACTGACTCATGGCTCGTAATTGAGCATGGTGAGCCCAGGTCGGTCGCAAGCTTTCACTATTTATGTTCTAGATTCTGGCGCAGTGATTCCATCAAGGACCAGGCTTCAACTATCAGAAAGAACACAATACACTACTGAAGTTCAATAATATGTGTCAGGGAGCTGGGTCAAGCAAGCATCGGGCACATCGGGCTCAACATGTGATTTCGGCTGAGCCAATGTGGGGGGAATGTGGTGTCGGGCTGATTCACCATGCGAAATCCGGCTCTTTAGGCCCTCTGGCTAGCACACACACCCCTTAGAGAGAGCCCATACTAGAGCTTGATGTGCCTTGTCAAGTCACCATCGTGTGTCTACGTGAGTTGCAGACTGGGGTCTTGGTCAATATCTTTCGCCTTGTGGCCTGCGAACCTGATCATCAACGGCGCCATGACTGAATGAATGACCGAGACGACAAAGGTCGGCATGATTTACAGCTTGGAGGTTGGTTTCAAGACTGCTTTTTGGCCCTACGTAGTACAACATAGTAAGGCCAGCTTTCCTGTACATGTAAATTTGCTGCTAAGTTAATTACTAATTAGATGTATGGAGCCGGAAGAATTCTATCGAGACCTTCTGTCAGATATGATGCCCTCTAGGTGGTTAACTCCGGCTGAGTCTCGATCTTCGGGCTCAGTTAACCTATAAAGGGCCGGGCTGCAACTATAATAAAGAATAGATTATCAACACATCATAAAATCATAACCTGATATTAACACAATAGCCTTTTAAAACCTTCTGCTGCGGCAGAGGAGTCACATCTAGCCGCATCGTCATGAAAGGTTAAGCCTCTCATGGGGTATCCGACTTAGTCTGGACGCCAACGACGCCCTGAAACTCATCCACTGGTTGGTGACATAACATAAAGTCGCCTATCTTGAAACTTCTCAGGATGGCACTCTTGGTACACGTTCACTTTCTAACTGGCACCACCCCAGTACCTAAGCTCAGATAATATTGTATCTTCGTGAGACACCACTTTTCGAAGGCTACATCCGGCAATGCTTATCTTGCTGCCTTTTCCAGGCATTCTCCGCTTAGTCTAAGGACCTCATGCACATGAAATCAATGTCTATCGTCCTGAATCACAATTGCTCCATTCCCAGTTTCTTGGTGGTCGTATTAGATCTCGCCTGCCGCTGAAGTCGCCTCAAGTTGCTGTTGGAGGATGGTCGGCACGCTGCAGTTTGATTTGTTCTCGACTCCCATGACAAACATCTTCACTGCATTCGTCGCATGAGAGCTTCAGCCAAGTCTACACCCTCAACGTTCGCTGAACCTTTCCACTCGATGAACATCGACGCCCACATCGCTGCCCTCATCCCCTGGCCGTACCCTGAAAATTTCCCTCATATCTAAAGGGAATGAGGACCCGCAAGACCTACTCGATCTTTATTTAAAGTGCGCAAGACCATCGTCCAGATCTTTGATGCGGCTTTATCCTTCCTTCCCGCTGTGGACTACAATCTTATGTCCCTTAGTATTGCCGGCGATTCCACGGTCATGATGTCCCTCGCCAAGCAGATCTTTACGATAGGAGCAAGTAACCCTGACTAGGGATGCCAGGAGAGTAACGTGTACAAACGGTGACTCTAGAGAGGGTAAGTAGAATGCCTCAAACCATGGGATTGCAAATTGGGTGTTGAATGTAGTTGTGACAATGTTCTTAGGAGTGACCAAGCGGCATAAACAAATGGCAACTAGGTAGGTGTAATTCAGCTTGACATGAATCATGCACTTGGCGTGGAAGATACGAAGGCCTTAAACCCTGCCAATCATACGCATCAGATCTTTTACTCTTCCATCTTGCCAAGGTTAGAAGACCTGAGAAAACTATCTGTTAGCAATAACACCTAGTGCGACTCATTCTAGTTCGTTTCTATCTGCCTTAGACGTTCCAATCGAACTATCTCGGGGTTCGCTCAGCAAGTTGGAGTATGTAGCTCGCAAAGCCCAGGCCACTCCGATTCCTTCTAATTATAAGCCAATAGATCGCGATGCCAGGGCATGAGCAAGAAGATGCCAGCCTCTCCCAGAAGGCCTGGAATGACGGGATAAGAACTCGGCGGCTGGGACGACAGATACTCAGTCAGGCCAGAAGGTGGATGGGACCAAATGGGACCAACATAAGAACCTGAAGGAACTGTCTCTGTAGGCACAGAGGTCCCAGAGAAACAGTACTTCGGTGTGGAAGGCCAGTAAACACTAGAGTGGATTTATCATGACGTCAAGACAGGTATCGCCCATGCAACGCACATGCTGCCATGAGCGGCATTTACTTAGACTTTCTCGTTCATGCATTGTGCGTGTTGGTGGAATGACCCATAAGATGACGACGAGGAGCAATTCTGCGCAAAGTAATCTGTCGGTGTATTGGTGCCTGGGTTGTATACGGCGGCAGCAGATCAAGGATCTGCGAGGGCTTGCACAAATACAAGAGTAGAGCCATGACATGATCCTACGGAGGAAGGAAATCGGCGGGGGCTGGCTTCATCCGGGTGCATAAATCGGACTTTTTCGCGGGGGGGGGGGGGGGTATTAGAGTGCCAAGACTGCACTCATGGATTGTGCGTGTAGGGAGGATAACACACTACACCGTTGGGGCCAGTTTCTACCGCCTGGCTCAAGCTGCGTGATTCCGGTGCAACGAGAAAAATCCGAAACCTCGAGCTAAGTCTGCGTTGTGTCTGATTGCCTGGTCGAGCCGCCAATAGTTGACGTTGCCGTTCATCGCAGCCCGCAACATCATCACTTGTTGAGGGCATTTGGACCTCCTGACCTGTCCGATAATTGTGTCAGATTGCTGCTGGCCACTTTTACTTGACCAAATTCTCCTGCAGTGACTTGCGTCCTGCCGACTGGCTTGTACCCTCCACGCTACGGACTACCAACGCCACATTCAGTGTCTCATTTCCCAGCCTCACCTTTTCTGTGTGACAGACGGTGGTTGGGAGAGCAACGTTGGGGCACACCAACAGGGGTGTCAAGCATAAACTTGCTTGTGGTCTACCGTAGTGTCTTGCATTGTCATGGTTGGCCTGGACCCGGCAAAGGCTCACATCGTGCCTAACAGTCAGGTTGCTTGACTGTTAGGGTTTGAGAGAACTGCCTCGGGCCCTTGGCTAGCCCAGGAGTATCTTGCTGCCAACAGCATCGTGTATCGCACCACCGCGTCAATGGGAGATTCTGATTGATACTATACATGTGCCATTGTGCACCACGATGAGCAGAATGACACCGATACAACAGCGTCGGGTGCCACTGCAAGAACCAGAATAGAGGTGATTTAGCAGCGAGGCGCAGTGGGTTTCCAGTGGAGCTATTGCTGCCAAGGGTGCTAGGTATCCTGGCATCCTATCCTCGCCCTACAGCGCCTAGGGCGCCCAAAACAAGCTCGGTTTCTGCTGCCCACCCTAGTCTTTAAGCTCTTAGGATGAAACGAAGCAAAGTCCTCTTTTTGGACTGATCATTGCAGCAAAGCGAGAGTTATCTTGCTATCCAGTTCATTTGTCTATCGGTCTCATCATCTCTCATAACCATGCGCCAGCCAACGAGCTCCGACCTAATACCGGTCATCGCGCGTGCACGGGCTAGATTGTGTGCATTACATCGCAATGTTAGCCACAATTATTTAAGTATCGCTTAAGTAGGCCCCCCCGCCGCACAGCTGTGCAAGCTTAGACTCTCCTTTACACTTACCACCTCATCATTCACTTAGAGAAAACAGATCAGCTTGATGATCTCGTGAGACAATGGACACCCAAGAAATATTTCATGTCTTTATGGATTTGCCATACGACCTAAGATATTATATCTATTCTCTTGCCACACCCCGCCGGGTCGTTCACGTCGCAGAAGGGCCAATGAACGTCTCAGAGAAAGGGACTTGGCGAAAAGAAGGTTACGACTCGTATTTCGAATATGCCTTCGACAAGTTCTACAATCAGATGCTGGACGGCTCGCCAAACTTCAATTCCAGATTGCACCCTGATTTGGCAAATTTCGCACACAATTGGCGACATCGTATCCCATGGGCGTCCCGTCGGTACGAACAAACGAGCTTGGAAGCTTATGGCTTTTCTTCAAATCGACCCGTCTATCAGCCATGGCAAACATCAACTGATGTGCCGTCGATTCCAACGGACTGGCTCATGGATTTTCCCGAGCTTGCATTCGAGTTGACTCGCGAATCAGCACTGTATAGTGCCGCAGGAATTCCAGTATTTCTACATGTATCCGTTGAGTCGCGACAAGCGTTGATGCAATGGGGCTATCATCTTTCATTTGCCACACGCACAGCCGGACCGAGGACATGGTTTCATCCTAATAGAGATCGCCTCTATATTCCTCATCAAGTCAATTCTTTCCCTCGACAACATTGGTCACGATATCTTGATCAAGAGATGCCAGTTCCTTACCCGTGTATTGAGCCGGGAGTCCTACTCTCAGGATGCCACTGGGACATAGGGCAATACGGTGTACAAGACTTGAGACACGTCAAGCATCTCATCCTTGGGAATGGTGCAGAAATTGAGGATAATGACGAGCTTGCCAATTATCTGCAGAACATTCTTCCACTTCTTTCAAATCTTGAAGAATTGTACTTTGAGAATTGGTCCACGAATGATATAATCTACTGGTTTGCGGACACTCAAATCTCACCCCCTGTTAATGCACCTAACGTCGAGAGCTCTGCCGTTTGCATACCGGCTGGAGATATTGATGTGTTAGGAAGTGTTTACTGGGCTGGCGGCGATCCATATCGAGATTGGCCGGGCTCTTTACTATCCACCGGGTATAACAATGAACAGTTCAATCGATATAAAGAAGCCCACTCCGATTCTTATCACGATGGGAAAGCCTATGCACTTGAGGCAAAGCTTCATTTGTGGCGTTCAAGAGTTACTTTGGCTCAGAATCAAAAACTGCAGATTCCTACTATTCGCCACAGTCATCTGTGTCCTGAGGCGTTAGCGGAAAGTTTAATAGTGCACCGACACCGTTTTTGGAAGCTTTTCCAATCTCTTGACGACGACTATATACAGCTACCAGATTTCAGAACTACCTTCTCCAAGTTGAAGGAACTTCCTCGCCCGTTCCAGATACAGTGGCATGATATCTTATATGCAGGAAGGGAAATGGAATGGTCAGAGTACATTTCACTGGTTCAGCGGTGGAATTCGGGAAGCTTTTCGCATGATTGGGTTTACCCGTGTGCACTTCAGGCTTGGTATTTGAACCGTTTTGCAATCAGCGAGCCACATATGACTATCCTATAGGTCGGACTCTTGGTCCAAGATTGCAACTGGCTTTCGTTGGAAAGTAGGGTCAACCGAAGAGATCTTGTGTTATTCTTGGTGCCCTGAATTGCCTCCGTTGGCCATAAGGGGCTGTCAGACAACTGGCTCCACAGGGATCATTGATGGCACCAGTCAGTTGATAAGAATTATCTAAAGAATAAAAGAAATTGAACAGCCATGTAAGCTTATGTCATTAGGACTGGAATCATTGATGCGATAAGCTAGATGTGAAACCGGATACATGACCCAAAAGCACGGGCCGAGTTTCATATCCAGTCGCACGAACCTGGTGGTGAGATGTGACACTCTGGCATGGCAGGTAATGGCGCTCTTACTCAAGCAGAAGCCCCTAACCACCAATGCTCTTAATCCCAATATCCTTCGTACAAAACGCAAGGTATTCAACTGTTGTCTATCCTTGCACGTTATCATAAAGAGACCTCGTCAACAAATCCAAGGCATCCGGGACGTTGACTTTCGCCTGGAAATCCTTCCACACTCTGTGATCATCGATGAGATCAGTAATCGTTCTTGAAGATGTCGTTTAAGTCTACGTTGTATTGTAGAAGATGAGATGGACAACCAAAAGGCTCTCGATAAACACCAGGCACCATGAAAGTTCGCGTTGTTCAAGATGAAGCTTATTTCAATCAATGCCCATGAGGTCAAAAAAGCTCTATATCGCGGGGTCTATTACTCCCATCTCGATTGTTTGAATTCGCTAATTCAACCGTCCTATTTCTGGAATTAGAAAGGGGTGAAGCAGGGATGATCTGAAGAGGGAAGGAGCAGACTTGTACCAAGAATGCAATACCAAGGCTATATGGCACCAAGGAGAAAATTAGGAGGAAAGCTAGGAAGGGAAATCCGAGAGGGTCTTGTTTTGAAGGAGCAATAGTCGGGAACGAGTCGAGTATTATGATGAATGGCAAAAACATGACGATCAACAGGACGGCGGCGGGCGTGGGTGGGAGAGGTATGGAGGAGTCGTTCGCGGCTGGCGTGACCCCCGCCTGGGTAAAGCCAGGGATATGAACTAAGGGCTATTTAGTGCGAAGGACTAAAGTATTTATACTAATTAGGAAGGGTATTAATTAATATAAATACTATAGACTAATTAGTTTAAATATATTAATTAACTTTAAAATTAGTATTTTAAACTAATTAATATATATAATAAGCGAGTAAGATAAATAAGTAAGTAAGATAAAAATCCCTTAACCTATATTATCTCTATTTAATTAATTAATTTATTACTAAAAAAGATATCTAGCTTAAATATTAAGGCTAGAATCCTTCTTACCTTTTAAGCCCTTTAAAATAACCTAAAACTAAGCCTTTAGCGCGCTATAGAGATATATAATATTTATTATATAAAGCTCTAATACTAATAATAAGGCATTTAGTCTTAATATAATATTATCCCTAAATTATATAAACTATTAGATTTAGAAAAATAGATTATTATTTACTTTATTCTTAATTTAGATTTATAAGGATTTCCCCCTTAATTTTATAATATAAAAGAAATAATTAATTAATTACTTATTAATTATAATATATTATTAATTAATATATATTAGGCTTATAATTTTATTAAGTAATACCTAGACCTTAAGATATATTTCTTTTAGAAATATAATTACTAAAAAGCTAAATATAAAGACCTAATAATTATCTATAATTAATTTTAGCTTATAGTAAATATAATTATAAAATATAATATCTAATTAAATAATATCTATAACTTTAATAAGATTAGCTTTCTTATAGGTATAATTATAAATAAAATAATTATTATAAATATAAAAAGGTATTTAAAGCTAAAATTAATATAACTTAGAAACTAAGAATAAATTATAATTATTTAGGTAATTAATATAAAAGGCTAAGTAATTTAGCTATTTATTATTAATATAAGCTAATATTACCTTATTAATTAATACTAAGATAATAATTTCCTAGGTAATTAGGCTATTATAATAACCTAAAATAATTAGATTAATAATAAGATTAATTTAAAATAGCTAAAATACTTTAATTAATATATAGCTAAATAATTAAATAATTATTATTATTTTTTAATCTTTAATAGCTATAAAAATTATTATTTTATTAAATTTAAAAAATATTATAAAAAGAAAAAAATTATTTAGTTTTATATATTATTTTATCTTTTTTATTTATTTTAGCCTTTTAATATTAGTATCACGGCTATAATATAAGCCAGGCGGGGAACTATAGTAGAAATACTCTAACTAAGCAAGGGACCGAAGGGACCAAACATCGCCCGCATCAATCCAAGGACCAAACATTAGAAACACCGGTCCTACCCTAGACTAAACCCAGAGGACATCGGTCCAAGGAATAACCCTAAGTATATAAAACGCACTTATTATACTTTCTTATATAATAGCTACCTTAGCTATTAATATAACTTAGTTATACTTAATACCTTTTAAGCATATTACTAGATATAATATTATATTACCCTTTAAGGTTATATAATATAATCTAATACTAATATAAACCTAATATAACCAGTTTATCCCTTAGGAAATATCCTCTCATTATATATTAATAGCTCTTATTTATTAGATTACTTATATTACCTTAAATAATATTAAATATAATAGCTACTTAGGCTACTCCTAGCAATAACCACTAGTAGGTTCTACCTACTAACCACCTACCTACCCCTATCGCACTAGTCTAGGCTAACCCTAATAGCGATAAAGAGATAAATAGCAACGACAAAGAAATTAAATAACTCTATACTTAGGTCACTATTATAACTACCGAAATAAAGAAACTTAGAGGACTTATTAACCGCATAGCCGCTACTTAGTAAGTTTAAAACTAATAATACTATAAGAATATCTAAAATATTAATAATATAGCGATTACTACTATAAAGGGTAAAGATATTAGTAAAGTCTTAAAGCTAGAATAACTAGAAAAGTTTAATAATATTATATATAAGTTACTAATATTTCTTATATAGCTATGCGCATTTATACTCTATTACCCTACCTAGTTTACCATAGCATCTAGTAAGGTCTAATATGCCATAGGGCGCCTTACTAAGCACGCTATAGCCTAGTTTAAACCTATTATAAAGGAATACCTTATTAAACTACTTAATAAATACTCGCTATAAACTATAAACCTTTATTTTAACTTTAAAGCCTTTAAAGCTATATTTTAATAAGCCTTTAAAATAATAGATAAAAAAGCCTAGGCAAAAAGAGAAATTAAGGCACTTTAATAAACTCGCTCTATATCAGAATATAGCACTAAATACCTCTAGCTCGCCTTAAAGCTTAACTAGGACTAAGAACCCCTAATATCCTTTTTCTTCGATAGGCTTAAAAAGGAGATATAGGCCGAACTCTATAAAGAAGACTAGCCTAATAACCTCGTCAATTATATTAGCTAAGCAATTAAGATCGACGACTAATAGTTCTCTTAGAAGAAGCTCTAGAACCCCCGCAATAATAAAGAAAACTATTAGAAACCTCGGTTTAATATTAACTAAGGGCAATACTAATAAAATAATATATCCTATAGAACCTATATAAGACCTATAAAACTCAGAGTAACCTAATAGAAGAAATGCGACTACTATAGACTCGAATGCCGATATTACTATAAGATAAACTATATTAAGAAGATCTATTACAAAAAGTAATATAATATTAAGGAAGGTCGCTACCAGCTATAGTAATAATAACTCCCCGAAGGCAGAAAATAAGTAAGATTCACATAAGCTAATAACAAACCATAGATAGCTCTATAGATAATAAAGATACTCGGTATAGCATAAGTAGGCTACGACTAGATAAGAGCTATACCTGACTAAATTAATATACCCTATTAGTAAGCCTACCTCATAGAAGAATAAGCCAGAGAAAATAAAGTCGCCTAATATAATAAGAAGGATTAAGTATACTAGATAACCTGGCCCCGAAAACTTAATTATATAAACCTCATGGATTATATTAAGATATAACTAGAATAAGAGCTACTCCTAGAACCAGCTAATAAACCAAATAAAGACCCTAATATAAAAACTATCGCGGTTACCTAATATAAAAAGTCTACCGAGATAAAAGATAACTAAGTACTATTACCCCTAACCCCCTAGGAATAAACCGACTACTAAAAAGCCGCTATAAAAGGGTTTAACTATAAAAAATAGGTCATAGGGTATAATAAGAGTAATAAGTCCTAGATACCCGCTATAATCTATTAAAGGGACTATTAATAGAATAACCCTATATAATATAATCATACCCTATGCCCCCGATACTAGGCCAAGGCATCATAAGAATATAATAAAATCTATAAATAATAAAAGGCAGATCAACATAATAGACTACTACGCAACAATTAGATCATAAAAATAATAAGTAGCGGTCTAACCTAGGCATAAATCATAAACACTATAAACCCTTAGGAGTACTAATAAGAGGAACTTACATAAGTAAGAAAAGGAATATAGAAAACTAACAAAGAACTATAAGAGGAAGACCCCTACCTGCGATTATATAACTAAAATAATAATCAATACTAGAATAGCATACGGGAACAATATATCTAAATAGCACGAGAATATATAGATACCGCCGATAAATAAGAAATCTATATTCACGCTTACTATAGAGAATTAGCAAAAAACCCTAAATATCTAGAAGCACCCTTTAACCCACGAGACAATATATAAATATACCTAATATACTAAGAACATACTAATATCTCATAGATATCCTACTAATAATACTAATATAAGACCTACTAAAAGGAAAAATAGGAGTAAGACTATTTTCCCATCGTATTACTATATTAACCTAATAAAAACCTATACCTATAATATAAGATAGAAAGATATTAAATTTTCTATTAGTACGAATCTATCGGCGTAGCCTATATATAATATAATAGCGACTTCTACTACGCTATTTAAGAACAAAAACAGG